CATTCTTGATTTAACTTGTTCAGTGACAGCATTACACTAGCAATGGAATCTAAAGAAAAATATACTAACTCAAAAGACTAAGAAAACGAAGGTCCCAAGGATTGGATTAGGGATTGGAAGGAGAGATTATTGGGTCTTGAGACTTCTATGAATGCATTCCTCTCAGCATTATTTGAACCATGTCTATCACGGGGTATACATTGCCTGTCAATATGTACAGTTGTGCTCAAAAGTTTGCATACCCTGGCATAAGTTGTGACATTTTGGCATTGATTTTGAAAATATGACTGATTGTGCAAAAAAAAAATATTTTATTGAAGGATAGTGATCATATGAAGCCATTTATTATCACATAGTTGTTTGGCTCCTTTTTAAATCAGAATGATAACAGAAATCACCTAAATGGCCCTGACCTAAAGTTTACATACTCTTGAATGTTTGGCCTTGTTACAGACACACAAGGTGACACACACAGGTTAAATGGCAATTAAAGGTTAATTTCCCACACCTATAGCCTTTTAAATTGCAAATAGTGTCTTTGTATAAATAGTCAATGAGTTTGTTAGCTCTCAAGTAGATGCACTGAGCAGGCTAGATATTGAGCCTTAGTGAGCAGAAAAGAACTGTCAAAAGACCTGCGTAACATGGTAATGGAACTTTATAAAGATGGAAAAGCATATAAAAAGATATCAAAATCCTTGAAAATGTCAGTCAGTACTGTTCAATCACTTATTAAGAAGTGGAAAATTTGGGGATCTCTTGATACCAACCCAAGATCAGGTAGACCAAGAACGATTTCAGCCACAACTGCCAGAAGAATTGTTTAGGATACAAAGAAAAACTCACAGGTAACCTCAGGAGAAATACAGACTGCTCTGGAAAAAGACGGGGCAGTTGTTTCAATGAGCACAATACAATGATGCTTGTACAAAAATGAACTGCATGGTCAAGTTGCCGGAAAGAAGCCTTTACTGCGCCAATACCACAAAAAATCCTAGTTACTATATGCCCGACAACACCTTGACACACCTCACAGCTTCTGGCACACTGTAATTTGAAATGACGAAAACCAAAATAGAGCTTTATGGTCACATCCATAAGCACTATATTTGGAGAAGGGTCAACAAGGCCTATGGTGAAAAGAATACCATCCCCACATTGAAGCATGGTGGTCGCTCACTGATGATTTTTTTGGGTGGTGAGGAAGGTGAATTGATGACAGGATGAAAGCAGAATGTTATCAGAAAATACTGGCAGACAATTTGCATTCTTCTGCACGAAGGCTGCACATGGGACGCTCTTGGACTTTCCAGCATGACAATGACCCTGAGCAGAAGGCCAAGATGACCCTCCAGTGGTTACAGCAGAAAAAAAGTGAAGGTTCTGGAGTGGCCAGCACAGTCTCCTCACCTTAATATCATCGACCACTCTGGGGGGATCTCAAACGTGTGCTTCATGTAAGACGACCAAAGACTTTGCATGACCTGGAGGCATTTTGCCAAGATGAATGGGCAGCTATACCACCTGCAAGAATTAGGGGCCTCATAGATAACTATTACAAAAGACCGCACACTGCCATTGATGTTAAAGGGGGCAATACACAGTATTAAGGGTATGCAGACTTTTGAACAGGGGTCACTTCATTTTTTTCCTTTGTTGCCATGTTTTGTTTTATGATTTTGCCATTCGGTTATAACCTACAGTTGAATATGATTCTTATAAGAAATAAAATACCTGTTAATATGTTTTGCCTGCTCACTCATGTTTTCTTTAAAAATGGTACATATATTACCAATTCTCCAGTATGGAAACTTTTGAGCACAACAGTATAGTTGGTATCTAACTGCTTGATCATCATTGGGAGAGGAAGGTGGAGGTTAGAACTGGCATAATACCTCCACCCACATCAGCACCGACCATTCAGTGTTGGCAAGGTGCCCTCATACACTGTTCCAATAAGGTCTAAAGCAGTGGTGGCGAACCTATGGCACGCGTGCCACAGGTGGCACGCCGAGCCCGCTCTGTGGGCACGCGGCCATAGGTCGCCGGAGGGAGGGAGGGTGCGCTCCGCCGGCGCATCCATAAGGCGGCACAAGTGGCCGCCTTAGGGCGCACCGGCCCGACGGGCGCAAAGCCGGAGTGACCGGCAGGAGGTGAGCGCATAGCGCACAGCGCTCCCTCCTGCCAGGCACTCTGTGTAGCGTGGCCGAGCGCACCGCGGTACAGGAACTTATGTTTCCTGTACCCGGGCGGACAGAAATGAAGTGCTCACAGAGAGAGCACTTCCTGTCCGCCGGGTACAGGAAACTGAGCTCCGCGGTGCGCTCGGCCACGCTACAAGGTAGGAGCTCAAGGGGGGGGGACCTGAGGGAGAGATTGGGGGGCTGAGGGAGAGATGGGGACCTGAGGAGATGGGGGACGACCTGAGGGAGAGATTGGGGGAACTGAGGGGAGAGATATGGGGGAGGTGAGGGAGAGATATGGGGGGGAAACTGAGGGAGAGATATGGGGGGAACTGAGGGACTGAGGGAGAGATATGGGGAACTATGGGAGAGATATGGGGGGAACTGAGGGAGAGATGGGGAACTGAGGGAGAGATGGGGAACTGAGGAGAGGAACTGAGGAGAGATATGGGGGGGAACTGAGGGAGAGATATGGGGGGAGGGAAACTGAGGGAGAGATATGGGGGGAGGGAAACTGAGGGAGAGATATGGGGGGGAAACAGTGTGGGATGGGAGAAAAAAATGAGGGAGGGATGGGGGGAAAGAAAACAGTGGGGGGGGGAGAGAGGGGACGACATACACACAGCACCCCTGCCCTACACATATACCCCACACACACACACACACACACACATCACCACCCACACACACACACATCACCCACACACACACACACACACATCACCCCACACACAAACACATCACCGCACACACAAACATATACACTGTACCCCTCAATGCAGTGTGTGTATTTAGCAGTCTGTGTGTGTGTACACTCAGCAGTCTGTCTGTGTGTGTGTGTGTGTGTGTGTGTATTTAGCAGTCTGTGTGTGTGTGTGTATTTAGCAGACTGTGTACTCAGCAGTCTGTGTGTATTCAGCAGTCTGCTAAATACACATACAGAGAGACTGCCGAGCACACACACAAACTGCTTAATACACACACAGATGTTAATTAGTTCGGACAACTGTATGAGATGTTTTTTTAAACTTAAACCTCAATATTCAGGTTTAATTGCCGTTTTGGCACTTTGAGGGAAAAAAAAATTGGCATGTATTACGGTTTGGGCACTCGGGCTCAAAAAGGTTTGCCATCACTGGTCTAAAGACAGTAGAGATACTGAGTGTAAGAATTTAGCAGTATAATTGGTAGATGATCATTAGAGAGGATTTTAGTGCTTCTTTGGCTACAAAAAAAGGTTTATATTTAAACCTGAAAACTGTTGTACTGTCCTAGTTAAACACAAGATGTCAATGAATCAGTCCCGTGGTTGTGGTGTTCATGTCCAAGCAATCATCGAACGATTTTTAGCACAATGAAAAAATTATTTGAAATCTCTTTTTAGATCAGACAAACAGAAAATTGGTTTATGATTGCCAGTGTGCCTTATCTACGATATACATTTTGCATTACATTGTTTCCGTGTAAGACACAATGCCCCTGAGACTGAGCTATAATGAATGTGAAGAGACATTATTTCAAAGTGCAAGAAGATAAAGACAGAATAGATTGTTCTCTATCAGCTTCATGTCAGCAAATGTTATCAATGGGCGGTGGGTTTGTATTTTTGTATGCGGATCATGATAGGTAGGTCAGGTAAAGCCTACTTAGAAACTACATGCATAGTTTAGGTCAGATTATTATTAATAAATATAGACAAGAAACATTTGCAGTGCTTTACAATGGACATTTAATAAGAATTTTTAAAAATCTACAAAGTTAGCAGAACTGAGACAAGATTTTAAGAAGATCTAGAGCATGGTTAGCCATAAAGTAGACTATAAGAATAGTGGACCATAGTGTTATGAACGCACCCTTCTCCAAGGAGGTTGACTTAGTCCTGGTGGTGAAGTGGTTAGAGTTCACTATTTGTTTGCACTAGACCGGAATTAATGATACAAATATTTTTTTATGACAAAGTTTATTTTTTTACGTCTTGCTTGAAATCTGTCAAAAAACAAACAAAACAGTCAACTGCAGTTATTTGAGTTCAATGCCATTCTCTTGTTCTGCCATAGTTTGCTATTGTTGTAAGAGGTCAAGCTCTCCCTGATCTTTGCTTGACCGTGAAACAATAGAACACAAATCATATGTGTGTTTCCTGCGCTAATAAAGTATTATAGAATGAAACCGAGGTCGAGCTGCAGTAAGTTAAACATACGCCATATGCAGTTCTTTCAGCTGCATCCAAGGCAGAAACGACATCACAAAAAATCTGTGAATGTGTTTCGTTATAATTAAACAATTCAGCTGTTAAAATATTTCAAATAGCATATATATGCATTTCTATTACTGGTCTCAAAGTGTGCTGTAACTGCGGTCAGGAGAGCAGGATTTACACTATTTTCCAAAAGTTTTGTTTGTTTTGTCCAGGGGGCACTGATAGTCAGAGTTATGGTCCCTGGGGAGATGCTATCTTGTCATGCAGTGCAGTTCCCCTTCAGTTCTAGCAGACCTGCAGCGCCACTCAGATCAGCTAACATCAACAACGTGCAAGAAAGCATGAATTTTAGTTAACCTGTTGCAATGTGAGAAATAAATAATGCATTGAAGTTCCTCCATTGGTTCAGTGATAGATGATTGAGGTAATTCCAATGGAATTGCTGTTTGGCCCGTCTCTGGTTATTAGGTAGTCCAGAGTACCTGCACTTCGTGTTTGGAGTTTTTGTTTTGTTGTAAGGGAGGTCCATTTGCAAATCACTTTAGTTAGCTTTACTATGCAAAGGGAAGGTTTGGACACCATGAAAACACATCAATATGAGAAAACAGTAACGGTATGTCAAGAAACGTAGACCCCGACACACAGAGTTCGAAATGACGCTATCCTAGTATGAGGATGGAAATGTATTGCTGGTCCTGAGGGAGGCTGAACCTAATGTTATCTTAAGAGAGTCAGTTTTATCAGAATGACCAGACACAAGCCAAGTCAAAAAGCACCAGAGAGCAGACAGAACGTGCAAAGCGTGCCAGGCTGAGCATGCCAGCTATCAGAGAAATCAAGGGATACACCCATTAAAAACCAGATAAAGCAGATACACAATACATGTGCCATAGGGGCCAAGAACGAACCTCAATAGGGCAACATGCTCCATTGTGAGAGAAGCATTTATAATAATTGTCAAACAGAGAATATCCTGCGCCCCTCCTGTGCGCACAAAATGTGCAAAGTATGTTGTCAGGGGACTGATCTAGGACACTCTCATTTTGATAAAGGTTAGTAACCGTTTAAAAAGACACAGGTTCAGAGCAACCAGCGTCAAAAACATGACACTTCAAGGAGTTCGACATCTGAGAAATGATGTACGCTATGAAATGCTGCAGATGAGAAATGGTAGCCTGACCCTGTTACCATAAAATAAAGACTTTCTGGACCAATAAAAATTAAAACAGGCATAATACACAGTGGCAACTTGTGAGGTTTTCATCTATTTCTGTGATAATTCTGTCAAATTGCTTAACTGAGGTTCTGGGAGATGCCAAACTTTCTGATTTAGCTAAGCGAAGGGGTCGGCAATCTTCGGCAATTCACAAGTTGTGTATAATACATCTCCAATAATGCTTTTCCAGCCATATTGCTTGCAAAGCATCAGGGGAGATGTAGTCCATAACATCTGGAGTGCCGAAGATTGCCTACTGCTTTGCTAGTGAGATCCAGAAATGGGATCATAGGCATGCTCTGCCAACATAGGAGATATGATATAAAATCTAATGTATGTGGGTGGAAGGTAGGGCTTTGGTTAGTGAAAACATAGACTATTAATAATTGCCTTTGATGTTGCTTTGGCTCACACTATTTACTGAGCAGTAGAACATCGGAAAAGTGAAGATATGAAATGAAAAATGAGCGTTTGTAAGCATACTGTCTACTAATTTATACTTCAGTGGGGTCAAAAGAAACAATAAAAGGGGAGGCTGGGCTATTATTCTTTGTTTTTAAAAGTCTGCAATTTATCTTTATTAAACTAGTTAAACATACCGAAATAATAACTTATAAAGAAAAACAAATGAAATACAATGAAAAAAAAAAGGAAAAAGTAAGTTGATCTAAATTTGTGTTGTGAATGTAGGGATTTTAAACTCTAGACTTGGAGAATCGTTTCTTTCACAATTGCAATTTGTACGAAGTTGGTCTAATCGGACGATCGGTCGAATTCCTCAATTTATAGCGAAACAATGGCCACGTTTTGATTCATGATTCTGAATGGCACAAAAAGAAGAGATAATTTAATCACAGATCAAGTAAGCAGTGACCAGCTGTGGGAAAAGGAGGTGCAGAAAAAAATATCTATTTTTATATATTTAATAAATATATAATATATTAGTATAGATTTTTTTAAATTTTTTTTTTTTTTTTGCTGCTACTCTTGTTTTTCCCTCCTACTGGTTACTTTTTCTCAGCTCATCTGTGCATCAAAATGCTCTTATCAGGGTACAGCAAAATATATAAATAATATTTATTTATAAATATTATGTATTTTTCAATACATCAATTGGCTTATTTTGGCCGCTGTTTGGTTTGTTTAATTCGTTTCCCAAAACAAATTTTGTTACTGAATTTATTCTGCCAAGCCGAACTGGGATAGGGTAGAAATTCAGCTATCCCAAAAAAAAAATTCTATTTGGGAAAAATGGTTAGGCTAATATACATTTTCTCGCTTTGCACAAGTCCACAATAGACAATCAACCTAGGGTTATTACATCCATACATTTAACTTAACCTCTAGATGGAATTGAAAGGAACACTATAGGGTAAGGAACACAAACATGTATTCCTGACCCTATTGTGTTAAAAACACCATTTAGGAGGCTTGCCCTATTCTTAACCCCCTTACAATAAAAATAACCCCGTTAAAAAATAATAAAACTCACCATATCTCCAGCCCAGTCCCAACCCCGCATCCTTGCTGACATAATCAGAATTTATCATGTCAGCTAATCCAAAAGGATCGGATTCGCTGAATACAGCAAGGAGGTGGGTGTCACAGTGTCCAGTCGGCACCTCAGTATGGCCGCATCTGATCAGTGCGGCCACGCCATCATGGTGCCTGATCGGCACCACAATGAGACCGCATCAGATCGGTGCAGTCAGGTTAGTTACGCCTCTCCCTCCGTGCAGCTCCTATGACAGCGGCTGGGTCCAGCGTTGGGAAGTAAGCCGGCCACTGCAAGGCCACAATGACATCACTAGTGATGTGAATGTGCGTGCAGCTTCATGTTTTCACCGTGCACACATGTTCTGGGGTCATGGGACCCAAATGAGCAAATAGAAGGGTTTACTGGGATATTTAAACCCAATCCTGCAGTTGTTCAGTGCCCTGTCGTGATTTCCTTCTTGTTGGTTATCCGAGAGCACGTTCCTGTTACTGGTATTTGGTTATTGATCTTGGCTTGGCTTGACTTCCCGTATTTCTGATATCCTTGACCCTTTGACTTTGTTGATTTCGTATTTGTTTCTTTCTGTATTCCTGACCTCGGCTTATTATTGGTTACTCTGTACGTTAAATCTATTCTAAGGCCCGGTAATATATTGTTACTGTTTATTTTGTCCATGATTGACTTACTTCTGCATGACTTGTTCGTCCTGACAGTGGGATGGGGCGAGGACAAATACCTGCTTGGCCAATCAGCACTTCTTCAAAAAGAGATGCATTAAATGAATGCATCGTTATGAGGAAAGTTCAGCGTCTCTGTGATAAACAGCAGTGCTACACACTGTGCAACAATAATCCAGGAAGCACCTCCATTAGCCATCTGATTAATGACCACTGTAGATGTCCCTAGGGGGGCTTTTGAAAAGGCAGTGTTTGCATGAAAATGCCTGCAAGGACTGATTATAGTATTATCCTAGATTTATATTATTATATATTTATTGGAATGTTTACTTGGAGGAAAATATTTCTTATAGTTGCTATATTCCTACACATTTCAGAAAAGAAAAATCCAATTTCAATGAATAAAAGAAATATTGTATTGGTTCAATTTTCCAAAATAAATTAACTGACATTATATTCTAATGCGCACACAGCTGACATGCCCAGCCAATCAATGCCCTCTCAATATGGATACAATTTATATTGATAATATAGAAGTAGAACTTTCAAATTATCAAAACTGTAAAAGAGGGGGCTGGGCTGCTGATGGCTCTGTAACTCCCAGTTTTGGTGTAAAATGGTGTTACCCAGAACTGGGGGTTGTCATGTACAGACCTATCACACCATAACTACTACATCAGTTTATAGTGGTTATGGTGTGAAGCCCAAACCTACCAATATTTGGCTACAGGAAAACAGGACGGGGTAGGTGGGGCCCCACTGACAGTTTGCCTCCAGGACCATGCGGAGAGCACTGCGCTCACCTAGTATCTAATCATCCACTTGCTCTGTGCTGCCCAGGTACGAGACATCAGGAAACATGGCAGAACAGAAACCTGAAAGCGGGGCAGTTGAAAGGCATGGTGTAGACTGCCCCTTTAACAAAATGATTGGGTAACATCATGTGGAGCAATATTCATAATAAGTCAGAGATGTTTTATCTAACAGCAGTTTTGTCCTAAATCTAGCCAGTCACGTCTCGAGCCACCACAACTTGCTGTTTAGTGAATGGGCCATAATGTGCAGTTATGGAGGTTAAACAATAAAGCAAAAGGAATCCAATGTGTTTCTGCCTGCCCAAACAGGAAGACAAATGTCAAGATAGTTACATCAGAATTTGCAGATATTGGTGGAGTGGAATGCTGAGAACAATAGTCCAGTGACTGATAGAGATGTTTAAAGATCAAGGATTGAGTGAAAGGTTGACTTTGTTTCCAGAGTAGGAGATAAGCTCTAGAGGTCAAAGTCAGGCTGGGTATCAGCTTGCCGACTGATACAGAAGTGCACAATTAGGGAAAACAACTCCTTAAACTTGTACAGTCTTGTTGATTTCTCTGTATTGTTGAATTTAGGATTATTACAATTTTGGGGGTTTGTTTTTTAATAGACTCTATTCATCACTTAAAGGGATACTGTAGGCACCCAAACAACTTTAGCTTAATGAATCAGTTTTAGTGTATAGATTGTGTCCCTGCAGTCTCACTCAATTCTCTGCCATTTAGGGGTTTAATCACCTGTGTTTCTGTTTATGAAGCCCTAGCCATACCTCCCCTGGTTGTAACTCACACAGCCTGCATGTAAAAAATGGTTTTGTTTCCTGCTCTGTAAATTGAACATTAATTGCACACAAGGCTGCTGCAGGGTCTAGAGGGCTATTAACAGAGCTGGAGACAAGAAATCCTAAATTAAACAGATGTACAATAATATAAGTTTTAAAAAATTAGATCTCTCATTACAGGAAATGTGTAGGGACACTGTGTAGGTCACATGCAGGGAGGTGTGGCGCTATATATATAGTGCCAGCAAATTATGTAGCCCTGTACAATGGGACAAAGTGATTTAACTCCTAAATGGCAGAAAATTGAGCTGTGAGACTGCAGGGGCATAATCTTGTTAGGGATAAAAAGAACCCACGGATTTGTTCAGGGGAAACCAAATTGCTAGTTTGAGCGCGCTCAGAGAAACAATCAGACCCCAGCGGTTGTATATCAAAGAAAGCTTCAGCTTTTTTTTAATTGGAGAGGAAGATAATATAACTTTGTGACTTGAGCGACAAAAGCAGGATGTTTCCTCAAGGGCCTGGTGTTTTGACAGCCTGTCCGGGGTTATTTCTAACAAAAATCATGCAAGCCTGGGTGTGATTAGCTGCTACAACGGCAAACCCAAGCGCCACCCAGTGGGTGTTTACTATACAGTTCATGTTCATTTTGGACAAATGGGTTGGTCCATGGGACATCTGGGCCATCATAGGGTATAGAACTCATGGTAAACATAGTATTTTACCTTTTCTCCACATCTTGTCATCATCAGGTTCTGTATCTTGTTTCCTCCAGAGATTATGTTCTTCTTTGCTTGCTTGCTTCTGCAGGATCAACAATACATTATAGTCAACAGTCTCACCTGGAAAGAC